GTGTGTGTGTGTGTGTGTGTGTGTGTGTGTGTGTGTGTGTGTGTGTGACCCGCTGGGACACTTGTGTGCTGCGGAGGCGTACCTACGGGCCTGGTACTTGTCGCCATGTTGTTGCTGAGTGCTTGCAGCGGGTACTAGAGTAGGGTAGGCCTGTGTAGGCCGGAAACACTCAAGCAGTGGGTAGGCCTGTGTAGGCCGGAATCACTCAAGTAGCATAGGTAGGCAGGAAAACACAAAAAGGTAGAGGCTGATGTAGATTTTAGAAGTGTGGTAGACTAGGCTAGGGGTACCGGGCCAGAAGCCTGAGTCTACAGCATGCCGAGGGGAATATTAGAGTGCAATGATGTTCCCTCCGAAATACAGTGGTACCCGGTAGAGTTGGAGGCCGTGCGGCTTCGAAGCATCCCAATGAGGAAGCACTTCGCCGGTATGTCAAGCCGGGAGGTGAAGTGGTCCACCTACCAGTGCTCCACCTACTGGGTAGAGTTGTAGGCCATGATCCCTAGGAGGCACTTCGCCCGTATGTCAAGCCCGGAGGTGAAGTGGTCCACCTACCAGTGCTCCACCTACCAGTGCTCCACCTACTGGGTAGAGTTGGAGGCCGTGAGCCCTAGGAGGCACTTCGCCCGTATGTCAAGCCCGGAGGTGAAGTGGTCCACCTACCAGTGCTCCACCTACTGGGTAGAGTTGGAGGCCGTGACCCCTAGGAGGCACTTCGCCCGTATGTCAAGCCCGGAGGTGAAGTGGTCCACCTACCAGTGCTCCACCTACTGGGTAGAGTTGGAGGCCGTGAGCCCTAGAAGCACCCGCACGAGGACACACTTCGCCGATATGTCAAGCCGGGAGGCGAAGTGCTCCGCCTCATTTTGCAAGCGTGCAGTTTGGAGGCACCTTGTTGGAGCGGGCACCCAGCAAAAGCAGCGCTGGGTGAGGAAGAAGGCGGCCTTGGCCTTCCACCTTGTTGGAGCGGGCACCCAGGGGAAGCAGTGCTGGAGGCACCTTGTTGGAGACCGGGCGCTCCAGCTCCAGCTATGGCGGAGCAGCCCAGGTAGTAGAAGGAGGAAGAAGGTGGGCTAGGAGGAGAGTGACGGAGGTACTTACCTGGCTATGGTGGACGACATCTTCATCTTCTTGGTTGGCGCTGCATCTGGAAGGCCCCAGTAGGGGTGCGCTGCTTCAAGGAAGACCCCAGGGCAGAGTTAGGCATGGCGGCTGTAGTACAGGGGACATATCAACTTTGTGTGTTGTCCTTCGGACATCGGGGTAGTCCTCCATAGCCACCCACCTACAGAGGAGAGAGAAGGTGTAGGTTGTGGCTATGGTCGACCTCGTATACTGCTCGTAGTAAGGAGGATATTCAGACATTGTGTTCTGGTTCAGTCTTTCATTGCTATTAACTTGTTATTATTATTTATTGAATGAAGAGGTTGGAGGAGATAAGGAGGCTGAAGTGAGTTGGCAAGTTGGAGGGGGATTTGTCATTGGTCTTTGCTGGTGTACATCTTCTTCTTCTCGTCTCTTTCTTTCTTCTTCTTCTTCCTTTCTCTGTTTCGCTCTCCAAGCTCTTTCATTTCATTTGCAATTGAACGGCACTCTCTTTCCTTGTGTTATTTCATACAAAGTATTTTTTTCTGTTGTATTGTTGCCTTGGGTCACTGGGCCTGTAATCAAATTTCCTCTTTAGGGAACAAAAAATCTTATTATTATTATTATTTTTTCCCTCGTTTTTTTTTTTTTAATCTATTCTGGAAATTCGTTTTTTCGTGCGGCATCTTCAAATCCTCTTAGTCATTCTGTTGTCAGCTCAGCCGAAATTTTCATTTTCTACTTAATTTCTTTCCTCCCATTGACCCCATGGGGGTAACAAAGTGCTGGTGATTCCCCCCCCCCCCCCAAAGCTGCCTTCTCCTCATTTGGGGGCAGCCATATWTTTTTCTCTCACCTCACATATTTTTTAACTGGCGTTCTGCCATGTCATCATGGAACTTATCTTTCTTTCACTACCAACCTACCACTACTCCTATTGAGGCTAAACAGCCCCCCCCTGCAAGGATAGCTTTCTACCTCTCTCTGCACCGAGAGAGGTAACCTCCCTTCACCGCTGGTGAAAATTTTCACTTTTACTTAGCCATTTTTCTTAACATTTTGACCCTGTGGGGGTAGCGAAATCTGCCAAAAAATTTGAACAAATTAAATACTTGGTTCTCATTCCGGTGATATTCCCTCCTCCCCTATCTATTTATTTCTTTATTTTTCTGAAACTTTCTATTTGCGGCATTGTGAAAGCTTAGACTAATTAAAAAAAAAGAAAAAAGCTTAGACTACTTTCTTGGTCTATCCTAGCTTCTTGGCATATCTTGACCGCATGGTGGGTGGGAAATTGTTGCCAAATTTGCAAAAAATAAATACTTCCTCCCTCTTCATTGTTTTTTTTTTTTTTTTAATATGTTTCTTTATTTTGCTTGTTTTATTTCTTGCATTGAATCTTGTATTTCGGCCTTTCATTTTTTCTTTCTTCCCTACCTCAATGGTTGTTATTTTTCTTCTTTTCTTGATTAGGTTGCGCGTCCCCTTTTTCTTAACCTCTCACTTTTTCCGGGTAGGGTTTTGCTAGGGTTTAAGGTTTTTCCATGCCCTCTTTCCACTTTTTCTGGTTCGGGTTTTATTAGGATTTAGGGTTTCTTCCACCCCCTCTTTCTTACTGCTCGTCCCCCTCCATCACCCTGGCACCCCAGCACATCCTCCCCCATCAAGCGGTTCGGAGCTGGCTTCTACCGTGTTGCCAGCCGTTGGAGAGGGGAGCTGACTCACGATTACGCCGTCTGTTGCAATGGTGCCCTCCGACTTGTTGGCGGTCTCCCCTCCCCACTTCTCAGACCACCTTCCTCCCTACCTCCCATTATGTCTAGCTCCCTTCCCCATCTGCCCACGGATGCGAGCACCTCCAAGGAGGTCCCCGCAGTACCGGTTGTTTCCCAGATGGCCGCCGGTGTCCTAGGGCAGACCCCTACCATTTCCCCCAACCTTCACGTTGCACTTGCTTCTATTCTCGACCCCGTAGGCGCCAAGGTCAATGTGCTCGCCCTTGAGGTTAACCCTAAAGTCTTCTCTCTACCGCTCTCCCCTACTCTCCCCACCGTTCTCCCAACCGCTCGCATACTCCCTCCCCTACCGTCCCTCAGTCCGGCTCCCCCCGACTCCATGTCTGCCGACATCGTGGCTCCTCTGCCAGACGTCCCCCTCCGTAGTGGCAACTGCTGCTGCCGTCCAGACCACCCTGTCTGGTAGGGCACTGCTGTTGGCCTCCACTGCTCCTGTCGTTCTCGCCATTGCCACCGTTGCTGCTGCCCAGATACTGGAATCTGGCAAGGCGGTTTCTTCCACCCCTGTCGGTGCTGCCGCCCAGCTTCCTGCGTCTGTCGCAGCATAACCAGCCCCATTTCTCCTCCCATCTTTCATCCCGCCTTCCCCACCCCCGAGCGCCCACCAGTTTGGGATGCCCATCACTCCCCCTCCCATCCGGGATGCTCTCCTACCCCTCTTCCTGCTACCCCGTGCACCCAGCGAGTGGCTGATCTCCAGACCACCATCGTGCAGGCACAGGTGGGGTTACTTACCCTGCAGCAGGCCCAACTCCCACCTGCTTTACACCCTTCTCCACCGTCACGGGGCCTGCCATCCTGGCAGTCCCACTCCAATTACGGCCGAATTCATTCGAAAAAGCGTTGGTGTAGAAGTGCTCTTCAGTAGCTCACATTGCAGACTGCCGTCTCTATTTGGATCTGTGAAGAATGTCAGTGAAGTGAGTGTTAATTCATGATGTAATGTTGCTTACAATGAGAGCATACTTAGTTAGAGTAAGTAGTAGGTAGTAGGTACTGCTTCCATGGCTGTATCTGACCACAATTATGGGCCCTTCTGGATGTATATGACCAATATCACGTCCAGAGAGAGTGCAAGAATGCGCTGAGAAGCCTCACTTCATAAGTGGGCATGAGTCTCAGCATTGTTCCTTCAGATGCTGAAATGCCACAAGCACTGGACATCTCCTGCTAGAATCTGCTGGTAGTTTTAGGTGGTATAATACATCCCCTCCCCTTAGAATTCCATGATTGCCTTTTGATTGGCTAATACATGCTTGGTTATCCCTTGTTGCCCCCCATAGTTCTGCAATTGCCATTGATCAGAACCTACTAGTTGCATGATAGACCTCTGTAAGAATATCCCTGGATGTCCACTTGTCGCAGCTCGAGCAGAAAGGCACATCTGGCGAGGGTATGCTCCTGGTCACCCTGTACATCCAGGACAGTTTGTTGAGCACATTTGTAGGCAAGTGGGGGAAGTACTTCTGTTAAGTGTGAACAAGCCCCAGGAGAGTGTGAACAGCACTCAGGAAGTCCAAGTTTCTGTTAAGATTCTTTCGGAATTTCAGATGTGTTGAAGTATGTATGCCGTGGATGTGGTCTGGATACATGATGTGCATAATATATATGGTGTGGATGTGATGGGGATGCGATGTGAATATGATGTGGACATGATGTGGGTGGTAAATTGGTTGGTTGGGTGGTTGTGCCTGCAGGAAAATGGCGTCCGCCCAGAAAATGGTCTTGCGCCAGTTGGCATCGAGCAAGCCAAGGAAGCTGGCAAGAAGTTCATCAAGGTTAATTCAACTATTCTCTTTTCTTCCCCACCACTTCCAGTAAAGAATTGTCATTTCTGAGTTATCATGAACTTCGGCGGTCTATTTGTTACCAGTCCAGTAGTAGTTTTCTCGCATGCTAAACCCATTTGACCCTGAGGGCCTTCCATTGAGGCTTTATCAAGTTTATCTTAGTTTGTTGAAACTTGAAAATAACTGGCTATTTTAATACGACGTACTAACCTTTCTTTTTCTCTTTGGGCCTTTTGAGCTTCTTTTTTGTCAAGAGGGTCACAAAATAAGCTAACCCTTTGGATGCTTTACGACTTTCATCTATAGTATTTTGAAGATTTAGTTCACTTAATAATTAATATTTTTATAGCATCTCCACCAGTTTTGGTCCTTTGTTGGGTATCTGGGTCCTGAACGGAAAGTCCTCCCTCTCCCTATGCTTTAGGAGACAGTTTGCCAGCTATGGTGCTTTTGGAACTCCGGGCTGTTGGCTGTATGATGCGGATACTGACTCACAGGTATGTGGATAATAATGATTCACAGCCAGGTGTGTGGATAATCATTGCAGGAGGAGGAGGAGGAGGAGGAGGAGGAGGAGGAGGAGGAGGAGGAGGGAAGGTACCACGAATGATGGCGGACAGAGTCTGTTTTATTCTGCTCTACTGTATGACCTCCCCTCCCTTCAAGTGTGGAACTTCATCTCTCTGTTGTATTATGTTGCTATTTAATTGGTTAACAGACTTGTATGATGCAGATGTGGCTATGTCTATGGCATTGTCATTGGGAACTGAGTGATTGATTAGTACATGACAATCTGAATTTGTTAAGGCTCGGAATCGATAGGTTGTGTACTAATGAATGAAGTAGGATCTGTTTTCGAATCCAATGAAAAATTTGAAAATGCAGGAACTGAAGGAAGAAGGTCTCGGCGAGGCGGACTGGGCCAATAAAGTTCACATTGTCTCGTCGCCATTCAGCAGAACGCTTGATACGTCGACAGCAGTCATGCAAGTGTTCCCTGTAAAGGTGAAATTTGAGGTGTGTATCAGCGGCGTGTCTGGAGTGTATTTTTTGGCTGTGACAGACCTTTCTTTGTTTCGTGGATGTTTTGCTGGCTTGTGATGGGGTGTGAACCGACAGTCTGTAGAGTTTTCCATCTGGTGTGGGTGAGTGATAGTCTACTTTGATTTTGGTTAAGGTAGATTATCATTTACAGTGTAATCAGTGAGGGGATTCTGCAGACTGTTGAGGGTTCAGCCTCCTGATGAGTCGGTGAAACTCCGACGAAACAGTTTGTCACAGCCCCTCGTTTGTTGTCCTCTTCTCTCTCTCTGCCTACGGTTTTACCGGGCAGTTCTGTTTGTGACGATATATATTGTATATGTGTTCTTGAAAAGTAAGAAAAAGTGAAAACCGCCTTTTGTTTGTTTGTGCTACTTTGTATCTTTGTTATTCACTGTAAGCATGTAACAGTTGACAATTGCAGTGGCGAGATTGAGAAAATCAGATCTGCATTTCGTGTCCCTGGCTATGGTTCTTTCTCCGAGTTTAGCGGAATGTAATGACTGGAGATCAGGAACAGGAGGCTGGGAAGGCGGTGAGTGAGGAAGGGAGGGAGGAAGAGCAGCACGGAGAAGTAGTGTGTATAGCAGGCACATAGTTTTTTCTTCCCCTTGTCCTTCTTCCCGATGACAAATAGAATGTGGAAGTGTAAACGATCTGGATGACAGGAGGAAGATGAGTACCCCATATGAATGTATAGCGGGAGCAAAGTCACAAGCAGGAGGGCGGAAAATGAAGTTATGATCGAGAGGGTGAAGTATGAGGGAGAGTAGGATGAGCGCAGGGAGAGAGTATCAATGTTACATGCCCAGTTGGGCAATGTATCTAGATAGCCAAGGATCTGCAATGTGATAAAAAGGACTGAATGGACAATGCAGTGCTGTGGAATCTCAACAAGCAGTGTACATCCTGATACATACAAAAATGGCACATAATGACGCAGGGGAAGACTTAGATATAAGCCCTGACCTGACCGGGACTGACAGCGCAACAGAATGCTAGAATACCAATGACTAGCCCAATCAATGTCGCAATACAGACCAAACATGCATCATCCTCATCACAAGGTGTGAAGGGGCCTGGCGCTACACACAGGAAGAATGCGCCAGGTCCAGACCATACACAGACGAAGAGGAGGGGATCAGACGAGGAAGAAGGGGGAAGATGGGAATGTCGTCAACACCAAGTCTTCGTTACAAGTCCCAGATAATCCCTCGTCAAATGTCTGAAGCCCAATGTCGAGTCTGGATCCAAATGTCACCAAGCCCGCTCTCTCGTAGTCTGCGGATGCAGTGAAGTCAGGTAGTGAGAGGGTGAGAGGGAGATGGTGGACTGAGAAGAGGAAGAAGAAGAACTCTCTCTCTCATGTGCCAGGTACTAACCTCTGAAGGTGGCGCTGTGCTTCATGTACCTCGAAGATGAAGCTGGAGCTATGGCGCCGCAGGTAAGTCTCCCTGGCCTCTGCCCAATTCCTCTCTCTCTCTCTAGTACTAGCTCCTACCAGCGCCCAGCGCTGAAGACTACTGCTAACGCTACTACTACTACTACTGCAGCGCTCCTCCAGAGTGCTGCTGCCAAATCCTGAAGACTACCTCCTGCCTCCTGAACTGCACGTGAAGTGCCTGGGACGTCCCTATGAACTACCTGCAGCCTGCAGGGCGGGCCAGTCTGATATAGTGCTGGCCCGTCCAGGAGGCTGCTCTTGCCAATGCCAAAACGTGCCAGACCCTGGCGTTGAAGCTCAAACAAAGGTTGTCTTGAAAACAGGCCCAAAATGGCCTGTGCTAAAACCCTGGTCTGGTGCCTAAGTTTCAGGGCAGGTCGATCTTATGAGGGCCTGAAAATGGCCCTCCGTTTCAGGCTGAAAAGACTCAGGGCCTGGAGGGCCCTGTTTTAGGCTGAACGACACAGGAACTGTAGGCCCTTGTTTTCAGGCTTTCACGCTGAAACGACACAGGGCCTGTAGGCCCTTAATTTCAGGCTTTCAGGCTGAAAACGACACGGGCCTGAAAATGGCCCCCCTTAATTTCAGGCTTTCAGGCTTTCAGGCTGAAAACGACACGGGCCCCCCCTTGTTGCAGGCGCAGCATGTAACAAACAAGTACTAACAACATTCCCTTTGGCAAACAGATTGTGAAAACTCATGAAAAGCGGGTGGAAGGAGGATGAGGAGGAATTGGTACCCCGCCCTTGGCTATAGGTTTTCCCTCTGTGTTTGGGGCTGGGGATTGTCACCAAGATTGTGGGAGGGAAGACAAAGAAGACTTCGGGGAGTAGTAGCGACTTAGCATGTGAAGAGTTCATGCTCCAATATGGATCATGAAGCATGTGTGCATAGAGTTGAATTACCATTGACCCTGGACTCTACAAAGCCGCACACCTGGGAGTACGATCACGCAATGTTGGAGGTCACCTAATCCCTTCAATCATTGCAACAACATTTCACTTTTGCCAGTATCCTGATAGTATGTTAATGCTGTGTGGATGATTGCATGCATGCTTGCATTACAGAAGACTTCTTCCACAGCTCTCACACACACACAAAAAAAAAAAAGATGCTGAGAAGGTAACAACTTTGCATAGAACATCTCAAACAACAGGGAAATATGACCACAAATGAAGCGGGAAAAGAACTTCTTCGACATTCCCTCATGTTTTCTTGCGAGTGAAGCCGCAACACGTCATTTAGTTTACTGAGAATCTCCCTCTAGTCTCCTGTTCCTCTACGTCTTTCCTAATCTCACTTACTGTCCAGTTGTGGTATCCACGGCTCCCACACGGGCCCCTTCAGGGCCCGACTTGGTCTAGGGGGGATGGGTTATGAGTTGGGGGGTCGTTGTTCCTTTTTTTGGCTCCGTCTGCATGTTTCTGATGTTACGATCCTGGCCAATCCTGAAGTGCGAATACAGAAGGAAACACAATGCCATCCAATTGCAAAAAGAAATGAATGAACTTGAGAGGCGAGAGAGATAAAAGAAGAAGAAGAAGCAGAAAGAAAGAAAGAAGAAGAAGAAGATGTACACCAGCAAAAGACCAATGACAATTCCCCCTCCTCTCGCCAACCAACTCCTCCTTATCTCCCCCTCTCTTATTCAAACAACAATAACAATAATAATAATAATAATAATAACGATGGATGGCTGAACCCGAATCAATGTTCGAATCCCTCTCCTACTGCCAGCAAAATATGAGGACCACCATAGCCATGGCCTCCCTCCTCTCTCACTTCATTCAGGCCCAGGCTATGGCGGACTACTAAGGGCCTTCCCCTGACGTGCAAAAGACAATGCAAAAGAAGCTATGCCCTCCTCTTCTCAGGCCACCATGCCTGACTCTTCCTTGAAGCTTCTTCATGCAGCACTACCGCAACTGGGACCTTCCAGATGCAGCGCCTATCAAGGTGATGAAGATGGCGTCCACCATAGCCAGTACCTCTGGCGCTTCCCTTTCTAACCCCTTCTCCCTCCTCCTCCAACCCAAGCCCGTCCACCATAGCCGAAGGTGGAGGGCTGGGCGCTCCTCTCCCAGCACTGCACATTATTGCTCTCCACTAGGCGCTCAACATTGTGACGCCCAAACTTGCACGCAGCAAAATGAGGAGGAGCACTTCGCTCCTCCCGGAGATATATCGGGCAACCAGCCTCACGACCAGTTGCTTCGTGTGCGTCACGGCTGCTTGGTACGACTTCAGACGCTTCTGGCTATGGCATTGGTGCAGTCTTGGAGCAGCATGATGGGGAGGATTGGCACCTGGTTGAGTACTTCAGCCAAAAGGTCCCTCCCATCAACTCCCTTGATGGTGTGAGGAAAAAGGAGCTGCTGGGCTTCGTCATGATACTTGGGAGATGGCAGCACTTCCTCGGGCAGATTCAAGTGGGCGGCCTATAACAACCCGTTGACCTACTATAGGATGGAAGACATGGTGAGCATCACAACCGGACAATGGATGCACTTCATCGACCAATTAGACTCGACACCGAAACATGTTTCGGGCACCTCCAACCGAGCAGTGGATGCTCTCTCGCGATGACCAGTTCTTTGCACGATGACGCATCACACCTTTGCATTCGACGAGGGTTTGCAACAGCATTTTGTTCGAGGCTACAAATTTGATCCCGAGTACGCACCACTCTGTGAGGTACTCTCTTCGGAGAACCCACCGGTGAGCCACTTTCGCATCGTCGACGGTTACTTGCTTCTTCACAAGCTCGGCAAAGACTTGTTATGTGTTCCTCAAGATCGCCGTTTGCGGGCTCACCTCCTTGGCGAGTACCACGACTCACACATCGCTGGCCACTTCGAGTCAATCGCACTGTCGCATGACTTCGACAACGATTTCATTGACTTGGCTTGCCACCAAGTCTTGCGAGTCTTGCGAAGTTTGTTGGCGGAAGAAACCTTGCAATTGCAATCCCTACGACGAGTTGGGACCGTTGCCCATCCCAGAGGAATCCAGACTATCTATTGCTATGGATGTAACTGGCCCCTTCCCCCGTGGTCGTCTCGGTCACGACGGCATGCTCATGGTGGTTGTCCGTTTGGGTAAGTATGCGCGGTTCCTCCTGTGGAAGTACCGACTGTGAGACTCGATTCATGTTGACCTTTTGAACTTCTGTCATGAAGGAGTCCGGAACCAAGATGAAACTGAATTCTGCTCAACACCCACAAACGGACGGGCGAATGGAGTGAGCACATCAAACTGCTCAAATGATGCTGCGCACACCTCATCTGCCCAGATCAGAAGGATTGGGTTGACCACGTCCCCATCATCGAGTTTGCCTACAACACTTCGTTGCATCCAGTAATCGACGTTACTCCTTTCGAGCTGCACCACGGTGGTCGGAAAAACCGTATCTTCGTTGATGTTCATGCCCCTTGCACACCCGCCTCCATCCGGAATACGTGGGAGTTGCTGGTGAAAGCCCACACAAATATGCAAAAAGGCCCAGGTCCGCATGCAACAGCAAGCCAATTGGCGTTGCATGCCATGTCCTATCAGCGATGGCGACCTTGTGTGGGTGCCGTCCAAGGAGTTCGGACTTAAGCGTGATGTCTCTCGCAAACTACTCCCCAAGTGGTTTGGACCATGGCCCGTTCATTCAGCAGCTGGCGACCAGCCCGATGGCCCTCCGTTCGTCATCGACATTCCACCTCATCTACAGGTCCACCCGGTCTTCCATGCTTCTAAGCTGGCTACCTACGTTCCAGCCAAAAGCAATGACTTTCACGACAAACTTTTGTAGGACCCTCCTTCCATGGATGGTCATCAGAAGGTTGACACGGTCATAGCTCAGCGCTGCTATGGCAACAAGCCAACACAATACAAAGTATGCTTGCAATCGTGACGACGTGTGCTGGATATCTAGAGCAGACATGCAAGCCTCTGCACCACTCATCTACGCCAACTACGAGAAACGACAACTGGCTAAAGAGGCTTCACAGCAGCAGACTCCTCTCCCCACCCGGACTCCGCGCCCCCCGTCCGATCAGTAGGCTCGGTCTTTCAAGGAGGGGAGGGGGTGTGCACGGCTCCCACACAGACCCCCGCAGGGCCCGACTTTGGTTAGGGAGCTTAGGTTATGAGTTTGGGGGTCTTTGTTCCTTTTTTGTGGTTTATCTGCATATTTCTGAGTTCTTTTTTGTTGTTGTTCTCAGTCGTTTGTCTGTTCTAACTTCTCAGTCCATTTGTCTGTTTCCAGTTTGTCCGGTCTGGACGTGTCGTTTCAGATATTTTGTTGAGACCGGTAGTTCCTCTGGACCTGGAGGGCCAATTCTCAGGCCTGTCAGACTTTGGTTGGGACTGAACCACGTTTTGGTCCAGCCCGTGTTTTGTCCACTTGTGAGGACACCTGTGCTGGCTCAGCTGAGAGGCCTGGACCTCTGGTTGGGACCCAGGCAGGTTGATGTTGGCCAGAACTCAGGACCAGGATTTGGGCCTGCATCCTGGATCGTTGATCAGCGATATGATTCGACGGCCCAGGATGCAGACTGGAGCTCCATCCAGTAGGCCATAGCTGGGCCAACCTCATCCTAGGCACACAGCATTCAGAGTATGAGACACTACGCCGCTGGAGCAGCACTGGTTCGAAGAGGAGCTAGGCTCGAGTTAGAGAGCTAGGAGGATCAGGGCGGAGGCCAGGAGTGTGTGGCTTAACTGCTGGACTCACCTGGGCATCATCGCTGCAGCTTGTATTCAGGGCGCTCCCACCTGCATCACAGCTTCACGGCGACACCTTTACGTTGGTCAGTATCTGGCTGAGAGAGAGAGAGAGAGAGAGAGAGAGAGAGAGAGAGAGAGAGAGAGAGAGAGAGAGAGAGAGAGAGAGAGGATTCTTCTTCTTTTTCTTCTTCTT